TGGAAGTTGTTCAAGAGCAGAGAGATCTTGGGAAGGTGTTGGTGTTGGGAATGTCATGAAGAGGGGGTTCGACCAAGCAGCTTGGTCCAAGTTGTTCAGGTTCAGGTTGGCTATACCATTCAATAGGCCTTCTGTTAAGTTCTGAGGTCTTGGGATTTGAATCTGGATTGAGGGATTGCCTCTCATTCCTAGCTCCAACAGGGATTTTTTTTTGATAGCCGTGGTGTGCGGACCAGTTTGCGCGAACCTCGACTAATTCCACGGTATACCTGTCACCTCCTACCAACAATAGGTACCAGGTAACTCTATCCACTAAGACTTGGATATATGTGAAGAAATCACCTAGTGTTTTTGTCTCCGCTAGGATTTGGACCTTTGGTCTCCATGGTTCTCACCCACTTCATTAACCACTAGGCCGTACCCTTGGGTGCTACATATAAAGTTAAAATTGTTGAGTTGGGGTGGTGTATAGATATTGGGGTTGGAGGCTAGCACGAGGGAGTTTGTCGAGTTGCTCTTTTTTTTTGGGTTGAGTTGCTCTTATTTGGTAGTTGTTTCGATGAAGGTAGTTGTTGCTGGGACTTCGATGAAAGTAGTTGTTTCGATGAAGGTAGTAGTTGTATAGTTGGTGACTGTTGCCTCAGGTTGTATGGAGTTCTTTTAAGACTCAGTGGGTTTCAAAGTTTCAAAGTTTCTGTGTTCTTGACTAGTAGGTTTATGGTGTACTTTGTTATTAGTTCCCGCTACTTCATTAGGGTAAAAGTAGTCAGATTTGGATTTATTTTCTTTGCTTTTCAAACTAAGGCTAGAGTTACCCTTTGTAGTATGGTTTACTTTATTGTTTTTGAAGTTTAAGGCTTTAAGCACAATCTGATTGTGGTTCTTCAGTGTTGGACATTATCAAATTTAGTGCCAGGCTTGGATTAGTGTCTAGATTTGGAGGTGTTTTGCTTGTTTCTTGGACATATGGACAATTTAGAGTTGGTGACTTAGCCTTTTACATTTAAGACAAATGTTGTTGAAGCCCTTATAAGAGATCTTTTGTTTATGACGGACAATAAAACATCAGTTAGTAGAGGATTTTCTAATGGAACCTGGATGCATATTCAAGCATATTTTTCTCGACGTGTAGACTTTGTGCAGTAATTGATCCTGAGTAACTATCCAATCATATATCCTATTTTAGAAAGAATTTCTAAGTCATCAAATTCTGTGGGGAGGTCCGTCAGTCTTGCCCAGATGGCTATATATGATATAAAGTGTTGATCTGAGGCGACAAATGTTGGTTCCCATTTTTGTATTGTCAGGAAACTGTTATCTATGAAGTATGAACCATGGCCCATGCAAGGCTTTGGTATAAATTTCAGACTTGCTAAATTTAATCAGATAGAAATCATAATTCCAAGATCGATTAAATTATTTTTTTTTGGTTTCAAGAATGAATTAATTTTTTATTTACGGAAAAGGGCAAAAACTGCTCCTAACCTATTCGCTTAGGTTTTAAAATACCGTTCGTCCACCTATTTTAGCAAAACTTCCCTCACCGTTAAAAATCTGGCACATTCATGCCCTTATTTCTGACGGACCTTTGTTGAATTAAAAATTATTTTATTATATATGACGTGGCAATTGCTTATTGGTCAAAATTAAAAATTCCACTCTAACCCAGATCTGATCCGTAAATAACTCACTCACGATCCATCTTAGTCGTTCTAACCCGTTAAACCCTTTTTAGCCCTTCAAACACCCGATTCCATACCCGACTCATGATCCAATCATTATTTAGGTTTCATTTGTCAAAATTTTTATTTTTCTTTTTATTAATTTATTATTTGGTACCCATACCCCTTTCCCTTTTCATCTTCCCCAACTTAATCACCGCCGACAATTTCCCAACCAAATCACCGCCGACAGTTTCCCAACCAAATCACCGCCGGTGAACTGTGAAGTTAGTATGCTCACATGATTTCAATTAACTCCAAAAAACTATAATCATGTTGGTGGCACAACAAATATAGCTTTGGTAGAAAGATAACTTATTAAACCATAAAATCTTAAAATAAACCATTAATTTAATTCCAAAGAATACCAGATTTCACTCAGAAAATTGATATAATAAAAGATGTTAATTAAAATTAAATTAAGGCCGAAATATCTGGGTGGAGGAGGATGATTAGAGAAAATGTGGAGTGGGAGGGCAGGGACGGAAGAGGAGAAGTTAAGAGGTGAAGTAAGGGCATTTTAAAAAGCGGGTCATGGGTATTTTGGATCATGGAATGGGCTAATAAGTGGATGTGGGGTAATTCAATAGGAAATTGACACATAATAAATAATCAAAAATTTTCTTAATCAAAATAGGGTTGTTAGTTTTTCCGGGTATGTGAGCCGGAAAGTTGACGTTAGGGGCAATTTTTACAGAATAGGTGGACGAAGGGTATTTTTATACCTCAGCGAATAAGTTATGGGCAGTTTTGGCCCTTTTCCGTTTTATTTAAGGTAGTTATACCGCAATTATCTTCCCGGGACCTTAACGATTAGAGCATTTTTCGGATTTCTTTATAATCTAATTTTATCTTCAGAAGTTAAAGGAGTAAAATTGGTCAAACAATTTTTGTTTGTCATTTCATCTTCTAGGCTTATAGAGTTGAAATCTTTTCCTAGTATTTAAGTTGTCTTGAGTGGTGGTATTTGTTTTAAGGAGTGAGCTGATAAAACAACCTTTATAGTTGTATATTCAACTTGCTTAGGATTATCAAAGGCTTGGTTTCATTGCAGTAGGTTGAGGGTTTATGGGGTTTATAGAGTTAGTAATAAGAGGAGTTTCCAAGTTTTTTGGAGGAAGGGGCTTATTTATTTCTATGGGGTTTAACCTTGAAGGTTTGAAAAGGGGATTATTTATTAGGAGAGAAAATTTGTGACGACCCAAGCCTATGACACGTATGGTCCGCTTTGGCCCTAGGCTTGCACGGATTTGTCCCTTGGGCTATGCCATCATCGAACCTCCACTGACATACTCCCATTTCGATTTGAGATTCGCCTAAGATGATATGTGCACCCCTTCTTCAGAAGCTTGCCAACCTAGAAGCCTGCCAGTCCTGCTTGACCCGCCCTCATCAGACCCCCATCCGTCATGGGCATCACATTCACCTCCCCTTGGGACTTAGCGTACTCGCTGAGGTTTGCCCCACCATCGTACTGAGAGAGTTTCGGCTCTGATACCGTATTTGTCAAGGGTTGAAAAGGGGGTTATTTATTAGCAGAGGAAAGTCTCTGTCTAGATTCATCAGTGATTTGTGTTCCATCTGGTAGTTTCGCTAATCAATTGTAGTTAGGGTTTGTTATTTGTTATGCTTTGTGCTTAGTACTTACAATTCCATACTGAGAAGGTCTAAACTTTTGGAGAGATTTAATGTGGGAATCTATTTTAGTAGACAATAGGGAGCACTATCTAAAATATAAGAGTAGTGGGGAATGGTAGAAGTAGAAGATATATGTTCCTCTTCTTACCTCTGCTGAAGTTTCTCTAACGGAGGAAAGTGTTGAGACTTTCATAGGAAAATCTCTAGGGATGAAAGTAGACAAAAATTGGACCTTATCTTTCTAACCCATTGTAAAGTCCCTAAAAGTTTCATAAGGTTTTAAGACTTCAAAGTGTGCCGATGATGATTAGAAGTAATGTATTACATGGTAAAAGAGCCTATGGACTAGCACTATATCACATGTACATGGCAATAAGTGTAGAAGGTGTATTGGAAGTGATTTAGGGACTAAGGAGAGTCCTAGAACCAAGCCACATACTAAAATTTCAAATGAGTTTGCTCAATGTTGGGTGGAGTCGTCTTGAACTCCTATGGTGCTGTTTGCACAAGGCTCTTTTTTTGTTACTGCTTTTTTTTTCGTCTTTCCTTGAGCTGAGGGTCTATCGGAAACAAACTCTCTACTTTCTAAGGTAGGGGTAAGGCTGCGTACACATTACTCTTCCCAGACCCCACTTGTGGGATTACACTGGGTTTGTTGTTGTTGATGTTTTTTTTAATTTAAAAAAAGCTGATTTATATTTTAACAGATGTTATACCATTTACTACCACTTTTTAGTGGTGTCGTCATGTTCAGGTTCTTAGAAATAATTTGGATTTTATTTGGTTTTACCAATCAAAATTTTTTGGAATTTCTTTGGTTCAAGAATGACCCTACAGAAAAATTAGGGGAGGAACTCCACCCTCCCTGTCTCGTTGATCAATGAAAGCATCAATTCTCGAGGAATCAAAAGAGGATCTTGATCTGATTCGTCATACAGATTGTCTACACGAGCAATCCATTCATCTTTTCAGTCAGTACCCCTTTACAGTCTCCTATTTGACGTTTAAACAAAGAAATTGTAGAAGCAACGCATTAGCCTAAAATTTGATAGTTAATTTGCAGCGCCAATAATAAGTGATGTTGTTCTTGCTCTTCTTGCTTACTCAAATAAATACCAAATTTAAAATGTTAAACAAGTTGAACGTATTCTAGTTTCCTTTGTATGCGATCTGTTTTTTCAACTCATTTTTTCCATGTCTAATTGACATGTATGAATCCAAACACTCCATACACCTCTCTCTTTCTGTCTGTCTCTCCATCCACTCCCCAGAGAACAACTGTAACCATGTTGAGGATTGTGAACCACAAAGCAGAGACGAAATAACTTGTATGCATTAAAGAGTATGACACCTTTTTTACTTCGAAAGTATTGATAGAGTTTAATTGGTAGTAATAACTAAGCTCGTGATCTAACTTGACAAATGTATAAAAAGGTTTTCTACAAACAGTCCATAAGAAAAGCGGCATTCAGCTAATTTAATCATTCTCACTCTTTCCGTTAGGGACTATATTTCCCTTTTAAAGAAGTTTGCATGCATTTTAATTAATTTACCTTTTTGCCCCTGCAGTTTACTACACAACTTGGTTCATGACCAATTTTCTCTCTTTAGTGTTTAATAAACATATTGATGGTTTTGCAGGCGATGCCTGAAAGCGTATCACCCTCTATGTGTGGGGAAAGATGACTCATTTTTGACAAGTGATGGACGCTGGACATGCGGTAAGCTCTTGTTCTATTTTCTTCAAGCAAATCTGATACTGCAATATTCTCTTTTTTGTTGTGTGTCTGGAGATTCTTCTTTTGCTAAGTTATTCATTTCAAATAGTCAAGTGAAAAATGAAAAAGAATTGTACTTTTTAGGCAACGAGCTATTCATTTTCTAGCCATTAACCATGTATTCATTAAAATAAAGAGCAATATGGACTGATCTCCTACTCCATTGACTTGGCCCGCATTATATTAGGTATTGCTTACTTTATTGTATATGCTTGGATGAAGTCACCGAGACGAATGAACATCTCAAGAGAGAACAAGAAGCTATGAGTAAACAAAGTTCATGTATTCTTTAGCATTATAACTTCTCGGTATATGGGTAGATACATTGAATTATGTTTTGATTTCAACATAAAAAGGCACAAAGTGGAAAAACACTTTAGAGTGATTCTTCATAAAATAATCCAAGTTTTGAGAAATATAGACCTATGGGATTATAGTGGGTTTGTTGTTGTTGTGAGAAATATAGAACATGAGAGAGAAAAATATATGGGAATGCGTGGTATTTACACCTTACGCCTCTATCTATTTATACATATGTTTTGAGAGTTAGTAATTTACACTTGTCCAATGTGGGCCCACTAACCCTATGTACATACTTAACACTCTCCTTTAAGTTGGTGCATACATGTCATATATGCCGAGCTTCTTACATGTATAACTAACTCGAGAACCTAGGAGAGATTGATAAATAAGTTAGCAAGCTAATCATTGGATTTCATAAATCTTGTGACAAAAGTATCTTCTCTCGCAAATTGAACCAATCTCTATGTGCTTGATCCTCTCATGGAATATTGGGTTTATGGAATATTGGGTTTGAAGAAATGTGGAGTGCAACTTGATTGTCAGTAATAAGTTCTACCTGAGTGGTCTCTCTAAACTTCAATTCTTTCAGTAATTGATTAATCCCTATTAGTTCACAACTCGTAACAACCATGGCTTGATATCCCGCTTCAACACGGATCTTGCAACCACAAGGTGCTTTTTGCTTTTCTAAGATACTAAATTTGCTCCAACTAGAACACAATATCCAAAGGTAGAGCGTCTATCAGAGGTAGACTCGGCAACAATCAACATTTGTATGTTCAAGAATCTTCTTGTGTCCTTAATCCTCATAAAGTAGCACTTTTCCTAGAGCAGACTTAATATACCGAAGAACACATGCTACTTTATTCCAATGAGCTTCACATGGAGAATCTGGAATTTGACATACTCACTGAAATGGAGATATCAGATCGTCTTATATTGAGAGAATTCAATTTCCCAAATGATCTCCCGTATCTCCTAGGTTCATTGAGAGGCTCCGCTGACATGGAAGAAACTTGTCATTTGGGTCCATAGGTGTATCGATAGGTCTACAGTTTATCATCCTTGCCTCCTCAAGTATATCGAGAGCACACTTTCAGATGAAAATGGCTGATCTGGACTGAGCTACTTCAATACCTAAGATGTATCATAACTTACCTAGCTCTTTGGTATGGAAATGTTGAAAGAGATGTTCCTTCAAGCTGTCAATACCTTCTAGAGCCAGTGAAAACTATATCATCAGCATACACTACCAAATAGATACGCAAATTAGAGGTATCAGGTATACAATACAGAATGATTTGTTTAACTTCGAATCATGCCAAACTCCTTATATTTGTGCTAAACTTAACTAAACCATGCTCAAGGGGGTTGATTTAAACCATATAAAGATCGGCTCAATCGGCATACAAGTCCCACTAGATTCCCCTTAAAAAGCTCGATGTTTGCTCCATAATCCATATATGCTTCATCATCGAGATCAACATGAATGAAAAGCATTTTGATGTCTAACTGATGAAGGGGCCAATGGCAAACAACTGTCGTGGATAAGAAAAGCCTAACTAATGTAATTTTTGTAACAAGAGAAAAATATTCACCATAGTTAAAGCTAAATATCTGGGTATACCCTATTGCCACCAAACGAGCCCTAAACGATCAATCTAACCATTTGGATAGACTTCCACTATATACACCCACCTATAACTGACGGTAGATTTGCTTGGGGGCAAAGAAATAAGTTTCCAGGTACCACTGGGTGTAAATTAGATATCCCCCCAATCATAGTTTGCTTCAAAATTGGATGATAGAGAGCTTTTTTTTCTTTGACAAGGTAAATAATTTTATTAATGTTAGAAAAATCCCTGTATACAAGAAGTATACCAGAAACTAGAGAAACCTACACTAAGTTTCCAGGTACCACTGGGTGTAAATTAGATATCCCCCCAATCATAGTTTGCTTCAAAATTGGATGATAGAGAGCTTTTTTTTCTTTGACTAGGTAAATAATTTTATTAATGTAGAAAAATCCCTGTATACAAGAAGTATACCAGAAACTAGAGAAACCTACACTAAAATATGGTTCTCTATAAAAGTCATCCACTCATCCATACAAACAAGGACTTCATGATTGCAACGAAAAGAAACTAGAGGCAAGAGACTACTCCTCACATGTACAAAATCTCTCTTGACCCTTTCCAACACTCTCATATTAGTGGGGCTACATCCCATGCCTTGGGACTTCTCTTTCTCCTTTTAAAATTCTAGCAATGATATGCCTACTTCACTGAACTCGGCATAACCCACCGTATATCAAACCAACTCAGATCCTCCCACCACAGGCGCGTAGCAATTGAACAATGTAATAAGAGATGATCAACATTTTCTCCCGAGCACCTACTCATATAGCACCAACTGAGATGCATGATCCTATTGTTCCTTGGATTCTCGGCTATCAGTATTGCTCCCCTAGCTGCCAACTACACAAAGAATCACACTTTTCTAGGCACTCTAGGTATCCAAATCAAAAGATGTGGAAAATCCACTTCATCTCTCACCAAAAGCTTACAGTAATATGATTTGATTGAGAATTGTCCATCTCTACTGATGTCCCATCTCCACCTATCTTGCATGCCATGTGATATATTCTGTTTGTAAAGGAGTTCTACAAGGCTTAGGAACTCGCCCATCTCCTAATCTTGTAGATTCCTTCTGAATCTAAGATCCCAAATCATTTCCCCTCTTGTATCCTCTGAATCTGTTGCACTGTCAAGTATTTCTGCTTCGAAATTCTGTATAAGTTGGGGAAGGCAATGCTCTACACATTCTCTCCACACCACTTGTATCCCCAAAAGCTAATTCTGCTTCGATCAGAGAGCTTTGCATGCAGATTAAGATATAGAAACACTAGACAAGGATGAAATAACGACATGGTGTACTGGTGACTATCAATTGTAACTCAAACATGTGTTTTGGACCAGAATTACGAGTAGAGCGTATACCTTTTAACAAGGATAGGAGGGTTAGCGGGAGGAGATGGATCCACCGCTGGAGAAGAATTCGGTACATGCCGTGAATCATGTTCACTTGGTGGAGGATGTTGGCGATGATGATAATATGTCAGTAGTGGCGTGCTGTAGAAGGAGAGGAAGCTAGGACATGTACCTGATTCTTAGAAGAAAAAAGAGTTGATTAAGGCTGAATCTCAAAAAATGTAACATATGTTGACATCATGTGCCAATTAAGTTGGTATCTTCACGAGAATAGCAACGATGATGCTTTTGAATTCTAGAAAAGCCAAGACACATTTGATGGATCGAGGAACTAACTTATCACGTCCAGGAGTTTGGTTATGAACAAAACAAGTACTATCAAACACACAAGGAGGAAGAGAAAAATGAGGAGATTGTGAACAAGACGTAGTGTGGAACACGATCCTGGGTGGCAGAGGAAGCATACGATTAATCAACTAATAGCCAGTGAGAATTGCATTGCTCCAAAAACGCAACGGAACATATGACTGTAGAAGCAAGTTGCAAGTGGTTCACTGAGATGCCTATTTTTCTTCTCAGCTTCCCTATTTTGTTGAGTGGTTCAGTCTGATGGATAATCCCACGAGAATTCATAAATTGCTAAAATTATGAAGATAAGTGGTATGGTGCTTTATACAACAACCCGGTGAAATCTCATAAGTGGGGTTTGGGGAGGGTAGTGTGTACGCAGACCTTACCCCTACTCCGGAGGAGTAGAGAGGCTGTTTTCGATAGACCCTCGGCACAAGAAGATGGCACGAGACTATACAACAGTAACATCAAAAGAAACCAGAAAGAAGATACAGTGTCAGCTTTCAAAGAATGGAGGGCAAACATTTACTGTCTGCAAGAAACGAAGATTGAGGGGGACTGTGATGGTATTGCAAAACAACTGGGTAACAGTAGGTGGATTGATCATATATAGCTAGAAACAGAAGGGACAAGGGGAGGCATCTTAATTATGTGGGATAAGAAAGAATGGAAGGGGGAACTAGTTGAAAAGGGAAGATATTCTATCACTTGTAACTTTAGCTCTGTGTTAGATAATTTCTTATGGGCTTTGACTAGGGTATATGCTCCATGCAAGATAGTGGAAAGAAAAGATCTTTGGTTAGAGTTGGGTGCTATGAAAGGATTATGTAATAGAAATTGGGTGGTATGTGGTGATTTCAACACCACTAGATTTGCAAATGAAAGGAAAAATGACAGATTTTTCAGAAACCGTGTAAGAACTGGAATTGATTGATCCTCGACTTCTGGGGGGCCAGTTCACCTAGAACCAAGGTGACAACTTTGAATGTGCTTCTAGAATAGATATGGAATGGGATGAGGAATTTAGTTTTATTAGACAGAGCCTTCTCCCAAAAGTAATATCTGATCATACACCATTCTCTTTGAAATGTGGGGAATGAGAACTCAGCAAATCTTATTTTAAATTTGAAAATTGGTGGTTAGATGTTGAAGAGTTCCACTCAAAAGTGCAGACTTGGTGGAATTCATTTGTGATTGTTGGTAGGCCAGATTTTGTGCTAGCCACCAAATTAAAGCTCCTCAAAACTAAGATAAAAGAGTGGAATAAGGAGTATGACAATCTAGAGAAAAGGAAGAAGACAATTCTCAGTAACATCTCAGTCTTTGATCAGATTCAAGAAAACAAAAGGCTCACTGAAGGAGAATTACTGGAAAAGGCTGGCCTCATGTTAGAAATTCAGGAGTTAGCCAAGCATGAAGAGACAGCATGAAGGCAAAGGTCCAGCCTTATGGCTGAAATAAGGGGA